GAATGCTATCACTTTAAAATCCAAAATGGTTGTCACTTATAAAGATTCAAAATGGCTGTGCCCTCTGGACAGCGGAAAGTCAACAGCTCAGGTGGTCTCCCTCCTTGCCGTTTCCCTTCCTAGTCGTAGGCCACTAGCACAGCCATTCCTGCAGTCCTTGGTGACCAGGGCTGATCTTTAGGTCAATTCTCAGGTCCCAACACTACTTGGAAATATTTAGGCTGTTGGTCCCGTCATAGTAGCTGACAATCTGCAGCTTTAACTGTCTCTGTACTCACTGTTTTCGTTCAGGTTTTTCCATTAGTTGGTGCCTAATCCACTTCTGTATAGTTCCTTTCAAAGCTCAGGGCTCCAGGATTATCTTCTGTATCTTTGTCAATTGGTTTGTCTTTTCTTTGTTGAAGAGGGTCTATGCTGCTTCTCTGCCTATTCCTCCGTCTTACTGTAAGTCCTAGCTATTTTTTTTAAAAAATGTGATTTCTACTTTTCTTTTCTAAATAACTGCATATAGTCTAATATTTTTTCAAAGCCTGTTAATAAATGTTTGATAGTCAAAGTATTTACCTATATAAGCAAACAATATTAAAATCTTATTTCCTGGCCAAGTGTGCTGTCACTTTAATTTTCTCTGTCTGTGAACTCTGTTCTCCCATTTCTGATGTAGACATGGTTGAAGGCTACAATGGGTTTGCTTTTTCCTAGTTAGTTATGTCAGCCAACTTCTTTATGTATCTCTGCCTAAATTTAATCTCTTCCTACTTACCACCATTCGTAATTTAAATTTTGTGTAGTTAAGGAGAAAGAAGTTTGGAAACTAGGATTAAGAAAAAAAAGTATAAGTAAGCCATTTTGGAGAACTTGAAATAAGGAAAAGATGTTTCACATAACCAGTAAAAACTTTGTTGAATAGAATTTTGAGAAATTTGCTAAGTCTTATTCTTAAAGAAAAGCCTTCTATCACTGCCTTCTTCCCTGATCCCTGCTTTTTTTTTCTTCAGGGCTCTGAGCATAATAACATTTATCATATCATCAACTTTTAATTAACTGTAGATAGAAGAGGGAATTGCTATGAGACTTTATTATAAACTAAAATCAGTGAAAATAAAATGAAATGATAGTCAGTTCTTGATTATCTTGGAGCAGTTTTCTCATTGAGAATTGAGAGAAAGACCCTTGCTATTTGGTCTGCTCTTTGCCCTGACAGGAACCCAGCCCCAAGGCTGATGGGAAGTTAGAGCTAATTGGTTTTTACCTACTCCATGCCTGAAGAGCAATTAGTTCTCAAACAAATTAATCTGCAAACCAAATCTGTCTCTAGATAATTGAAAGTTACTTATGCTTTTCCCACCAGATTATACATTTGTACTACGTCTAATTTATTTTGGTGTCCTTAGTGCCTATCACATGTGATAAGGAATAAATAAATGTTTGTTGAATGGATCTGAGTGGCTTGGAGTACCTGTCACACTGTACTTAAAAACTAATTTAGACCCTGAAGACTGTGGCCCTTAGACACCCTTCAGGTCTGGAACTGAACTTGCTCCTGTGGCTCAAGTTTCAGACAAATGGTAGATAGGCCTATAAGATTAATAGTAACACCAGGGAGGGATGCATCCTTAAAACAAGTAACCTTCTGAGATCAAAAGGGTAGCATTTGTCCAGGGATAAAACTTGAAGGCAGGAGGGGATAGGAAAGAAGGACACATGGAAATGGGAAACACAGGGAGAAAGTCAGAAGACCAAAAGACTAAACCAACTGCTGTCGAATCCCTTCTGACTCATAGCAACCTTGTAGGGCACAGTAGAACTTCCCCATAAGGGTTTCCAAGGCTGTAAATGTTTACAGAAGCAGACTGTCCCATCTTTCTTCCAGAGTGGCTGGTGAGTTCAAACTACTGACCTCTTGGTTAGCAGCTGAATGTTTTAACCACCATTCTGCTAGAGCTGCTTATGGGGATTTCAAATCAGTGTCACAAAACAAAATGTGTATGAATTGTTGAACCAGTTTGCTTTGTAAATTTTCATACAAATCACAGAAAAGAATACAAGAAAAGGAAAAAAATTAGATTAGCCCAGAAAATTATTCCATTATCACTTAGTCATCCCAATACTCTGGTAGCATAGTGGCTAAGGCACTTGACTGCTAACCAGAAGGCTGGCGGTTCAAACCGACCAGCCACTCCCCAGAAGGAAGATGGGGCAATCTACTTCCCTAGTGATACTGCCTTGGAAACCCAAGGAGGGGTCGCTATGAGTCGGGTGCGACTCGACGGCACATAACAACAACAACAACCACCTAACTTCTTGTGCCTTGAAGCCCCTTATTCTGCACAATTCCTATTATTAATATTATTGTTGAAGGATATTTCATAAGAAAAGGAAGGCCATTAAGACTGGAGGCAAAGCAAACCCATGACTAAGGGGGAAAGTTCAATAAGCAAAATTAAAAAAAACCTCCTTATAGTCTATTTAGGGACCTCTGGTAGCATAGTGGCTAAGGCACTTGACTGCTAACCAGAAGGCTGGCGGTTCAAACCCACCAGCCACTCCTCAGAAGGAAGGTTG